CAAAGAGTTTACTGCCTATGTTTTCTTCTAGGAGTTTTATGGTTTTGGGTCTTACATTTAAGTCTTTAATCCATTTTGAGTTTATTCTTGCATATGGTATAAGAAAGTGACCCAGTTTCACTTTTTTGCATATGTCTGTCCAGTTTTCCCAGCACTATTTATTAAAGAGACGGTCTTTACCCTATTGTATATTGTTGCCTCCTTTGTCATAGATTAATTGGCCATATAGGCCTGGATTTAATTCTGGGTTCTTTATTCTGTTTCATTGATCTATATGTCTGTTTTTATGCCAGTACAGTGCAGTTTTGATAACTAGAGCCTTGTAGTATAATTTGATACCATGTAGCATGACACCTCCAACTTTGTTCTTCTTTCTCAAGGTTGCTTTAACTATTTGGGGTCTTTTGTGGTTCAACATAAATTTTAGGATTATTTGTTCCAGTTCTGTGAAAAATGCCTTTGGTATTTTGATAGGGATTGCATTGAATCTGTCGATTGCTTTGGGTTGTACGGACATTTTAATTATGTTACTTCTTCCTACCCATGAGCACGGTATATCCTTCCATTTATTTGTATCTTCAATTTCTTTCTTCAATGTCTTATAATTTTTTGAGTACAGGTCTTTTGAGTACAGGTCTCTGTTCATTGGTTAACTTTATTCCTGAGTATTCTTTTTGTTGCAATTGTAAATGGGATTGTTTTATTAATTTCTTTTACTGATAGTTTGTTGTGAGTGTATCAAAATACAACTAGTTTCTGAATATTAACTTTTTATCCTGCTACTTTACTGAATTCATTTATTAGTTCTAATAGTTATTTGGTGGAATCTTTTGGGTTCTCTCTGTATAGTTTCATGTTAGCTGCAAAGCATAAGTTTTACTTCTTCCTTTCTAATTTGGATGCCTTTTATTTCTTGTCTGATTGCTGTGGCGAGGACTTCCTGTACTGTGTTGAATAAAAGTGGTGAAAATGGACATCTTGTTTTGTTCCTGATCGTAAAGAAAAACTTTCAGCTTTTCACTATTGAGTATGATGTTAGCTGTGGGTTTGTCTTACATGGCCTTTATTACGTACCATCTGTTCCACACTTTGCTGAGATTTTTTATCATAAATGGATGTTGGATTTTATCAAACGCTCTTTCTGCAACTATTGATAGGATCACATGACTTTCATCCTTCATTTTGTTTATGTAGTGTGGTGGGTCACAATAATTGATTTGCAGATAATGAGCCAAACTTGCTTTCCAGGAATAAATCCCACTTGATCATGGCATATGATCTTTTTAATGTATTGCTGGATTTGGTTTGCTAATATTTTGTTCATCAGGGATATTGGCCTATAGTTTTCTTTTTTTGTAGTGTCTTTGGCTGGTTTGGGTATCAGGGTAACACTGGTCTCATAAAATGAGTTTGAGAGCCTTTCCTCCGCTTCAGTTTTTTGGAATAGTTTGAGAAGGATCAGTATTAATTCTTCTTTAAATGTTTGGTGAAATTCACCTTTGAGGCCACCTGATCCAGGGCTTTTGCTGGTTGTGAGTTTTTTTATTACTGATTTGATTTCATTAGCAGATCTATCAGTCTGTTCAGATTTTCTGTTTCTTCTTGATTTAGCCTTGGGAGGTTGTATGTTTCTAGGAATTTATCCATTTATTCCAGGTTGTCCAATTTGTTGGCATATAATTGTAGGATTTCCTTATAAACCTTTGTATTTCTGTGGTTTTGGTTGTTACTTCTGCTCTTTCATTTCTGATTTTATTTGGGCCCTCTTTTTTTCTTGATGAGTCTGGCTAAAGGTTTATCAATTTTGTTTATCTTTTCAAAGCACCAACTCTTGGTTTCATTTATCTTTTCTATTGTTTTTTTAGACTTTATTTCATTTATTCCCACTCTGATCTTTATTATTTTTTTCCTTCTCCTCACTTTGGACATTGTTTGTGCTTTTTCTAGTTCCATTAGGTGTAAGGTTATATTGCTTATTTGAGATTGTTCTTGTTTCTTGAGGTACACCTGTATTGCTGTGAATTTTCCTCTTAGAACTGTTTTGGCTGTGTTTGATAGATTTTGAGTTGCATTTTCATTTTCATTTGTGTCAGGTGTCTTTTGATTCCTTCCTTGATCTCACTGTTTAGTAGTATGTTATTTAGCCTCCATGTGTGGTTTTCAGTTTTCTTGTAATTGACTTCTAGTTTCATACCACTGTGGTTGGAGAAGATGCTTGATATGATTTCAGTCTTCTTAAATTTATTGAGACTTGTTTTGTGGCCTAAGTTATGTTCTGTCCTAGAAAATGTTTCATGTGCACTTGAGAAAAATGTATATTATTCTGCTTTCAAGTGAAATGTCCTAAAAATATCAATGAAGTCCATTTGGTCTAATGTGTCATTTGAGGCCACTGCTTCCTTGTTTTTTTCTGTCTGGATGATCTATCCTTTGATGCCAATGGGGTGTTAAAGTCCCCTACTGTGACTCTTTATGTCCACCAACATTTGCTTTATATATTTAGGTGCTCCTACGTTGGGTACATAGATGTTTATGAGAGTTATGTCATTTTGTTGGATTGATCCCTTTATCATTATGAAACGTCCTTCTTTTGTCTCTTGTTTTAAAGTCTATTTTGTCTAATATAAGTATGGCTACTCCAGCTTTTTTTTTATTTCCATTTGCATGAAATATCTTTTTCTATCTCTTTACTTTCAGTCTGTGTGTGTCTTTTGATCTGCGATTGGTCTCTTGTAGGCAGTAGATGTAGGGTCTTGTCTTTTTATCCATTCTGCCAACCTATATCTTTTGAGCGGAGCAGTTAGTCCATTTACATTTAAAGTAATTATTGATAGGTATGTAGTTGTTGTCATTTTATTCATTGTTTTTCTGATTTTATTTTTTTAGTTCTTCTCTGTTCCTTTGTTATTATTCTCTTGCACTCTTCTATGTTGATGACTTTCTGTAGTGTTGTGTTTAGATTCCGCTCTTTATTTCTTGTATATCTCTCACAGATTTTTGGTTTGTGGTTAACATGTGCTTCCTATATACCAAGCTGTGTTTATAGCAGTTTATTTTAAGTTGATGGTCACTTAAGTTTGAACACATTCTAAAATCACTACAATTTTTACTCACCCCCTTTATGTTTATGGTTTTGTCACTGTTTTTTTACAAAATTCTTTTGTGTGTGTTTGTGTATGTCCCTTCATTTATCTTTGTAATTACACATGATCTTCCTACTTTTGCCTTTTAATTTTTGTATTAGCCTTATAGTTGGTTGATGCACTGCTTTTATTATGTGTTTGCCTTTGTCAGTGAGAATTATTTTCTTTCCTGCATTTTCTTATTCATATTTTTGATCTTCTTAAAGAAGTCCCTTTAACATTGCTTATAATACTGGTTTGGTGGTGATAAACTCTTAGTTTTTTCTTGTCTAGGAAACTCTTTCTCTCTCCTTCCATTCTAAATGAGTAAAGTAATCTTGGCTGTAGGTCCT